CACTTAGCATCTGTCCAGCTCATATTGGGTGAGTAAAGTTACAGTTCCTATCTTCTGTCATATTAGCAGATGAGATGTTCATATTGATGAAGTATTCATTCAGTAAATATTTATTGAGCAATTACTATGTACCAGGCACTGTTCAAGGGAATTAAGATAAAATATGATATGCCCTAATATTGACTACATACTAAAAGTTAGGGCAGGTTGCTGCTCTATAGCTGCCCAACCATATCCCCTCAGGCCTTACCATTATACTTCCTGCAGACCTAGCTTCCAATTGTCGGCATCTGCATCTCTTTTCCTGAGGGTTTCCACTGGGGGCTGGAGACTCCTTTCCCACTACCCAGCAGGCCAGAAGTGCCTAGAAATTAATGCTTCCCAGGAACTGCCCTCAACCAGTGACTGACAAGGTAATTGATATGGAAATACTCCAGTCGCCTCATTCCTTAGGTGAGATAACTCTGAGAATGAGTTCTAAATTGGCTCCCAGAGTCCCCAGTGGGATTAACCACCCCCCCCACATGTGTCACTGTCATTTATCATTGGTATTATGCTGTTGCTCTTTTCACATCCTGTCTGCTTCAGTCGGTTTGGCAGTATATGAATTTGTGACCCTTGAACAAGAAGGTCTTCAAAGTCCTCCTCAGATTTAGGATTTCTTGATTTCATCAACCTTATGGAAGTGTCTGTGAAAGAATAAGATACTTTCAAATACAGCTATGTTCCGGTCACTGTAATATCCCACCACATATAAAATTCCCCTGTAGCTGTTCCCACCTCAGCCACTCACTTCTCTCTTTTCTGCCCAAGAGCTATCTCTGGCACTAAAGGAGCAAAAAAGCCTATTTGGAAGTGAAAGAGAGCTAATGCCTACAGAGCAGCCCTTAATCAAGGGGAAGGGAAGTTGGTGGATAAATGTCCCAGACTCTCCCCCTACCCTCCAGTGGGTCAAAAATGAGACATGTTCCCTGAGATATCTCAGAGAGCACCCAGTGGGATCCAGCACAGTTAGCTATAGCAATAACCCACTCAATAACACTCACGTTGTCTTCTTTCTCTTCCCTGTCCTTACCCTCACTCCTGCTTCCTTGGGATCACTTCCCAAATATATTCTCCCCATCCAGTACTTGTTTCAGGATCTGCTTTTGTGAGAACCCAAGGTAAGATAAGACATTCTAAGGAAACTCCTCACTAGAAGAAAGAAACATTGATCACAGTGATCACAGCTACTTCTTTCTTTTCAGTCATATCTTTAGATAATGGCAGAGGGCACCTTGTGGACCTTTTAAAAGTTCAAGATGAATAATGGCATTTTTATTACCTGTTCAGGTGAAATAACTCAAGACCCAAAATTGTCCTTGTGGTTGTTAGGTGCTGTGGAGTCGGTTCCGGCTCACAGTGACTCAATGCACAACAGAATGAAACAAAGGGTGGTCCTGCTCCATCCTCACAATCATTGCAGCCACTGTTGCAGGCACTGTGTCAATCCATCTCGTTGAGGTTCTTCCTCTTTTTCGCTGACCCTCCACTTTAGCGAGCATGATGTTCTTCTTCAGGGAAGTGGAGTTCATGGATTTGTCTTCAATCTTACTGATTCTGTCTTCCATTGTTTCAAATTTGATCCTTTAACTTTCATTGAGTTGTCTAGTTTTGAAAATTTGTTGCTTATCTTTTGGATTTCTAGTTGCTGTTTTTGTACAATTGCTAATTATTTTTTTATTTTGACATTTTGTTCTTGTACTATTTTCCTGAATTCTTCTATTGCTTTGTCTGTGCTTTCCTTGATTTTTGCTATGTTTTCTTTGGTTTTGTCTGTGTTTTCTTTGATCTCTTTCCTAATCTCTTAAAGCACCCTAAATATTAGTCTTTTGAATTCCATATCAGGTAGTTCCACTGCCTTTTCTTCTACTGGAAGGTCATCTTATTCTTTATTTTAGTCACTTGCTGGAGTCATCTTGTCCTGCTTTTTCATATGTTTTGATATTGTCTGCTGTCTCTGAGACATTAAGGTATTATATTCTTTATTTTTGATTACATGTTCATTTATTTTGTCTTGCTTCTTTGTTTTGTTTTGATATGTCAGGATGGGCAGGCTGGGTGTGATTTGCTGCTTGCTCATCTATGGGCACAACAACTCTCACCACTTCATCTGGGTGGGCATGGCAGCAACAGGCAGGGAGAGCAGTCTTCGCTGTACACTGGTTTGGTGAGGTGGCTGAGGGCCTACTGGGTGGGTGCTATCTGTCTGATGATGGTCCAGCTGTGTCAGAGTGTCCACAGCCCCTCGCTAGATGGATGGGGTTGTTGGACGGGGAGCGGTACAGGTTTGCTTCCTACCATTAAGCAGCTGGTTGACTGGTGAGAGGGAAGGGGTGGTGTGAGTCCAGTGTGGCGGGAGGCCTGAGTGCTGTCAGTGTTCTAGCTGTGGCAGCTCAGCAGAGGCTGATAGGAAGGGGGGAGAGATGGTGTACAGGGCTAGGTAGGAGGGAAAAAAGAGAAAGAAAAAAAAAAAAAAGGTAGCATGGTGGGGACTGGCAAGTGGGGGCAGGGCAGACCCAGATGCTGGTGGGAAGTGAGGGAAGTGGCTTATGGGTCTAGATGGGAAGGAGAAAGAAAGAAAAAAAGGGGTGGAGTGGCAAGAGCCAGCAGGTAGGGGTGGAGTGGACATGGGTGGTGGTGGGCCAGTGTGCCAATGGTGCTCTAGCTGCAGTGGAACGGCGGGGGCGGAGGGTGCAGGAAGAGAGGTGGTGGCATACAGGGCTAGGTGGGAGGGAGAAAGAAAAGAATGGCAGTGTGATGGGAACTGGCAAGTGGGGGTGGGGCAAACCCTGGGTCTAGTGGGAATGGAGGGGAGGTGGCTTATGGGGCTAGTTAGAAAGGACAAAGAAAAGAAAAAAAATGGTGGTACAGCAGGAGACGGTGGGTGGGGGTGGGGTCAACCCACTGCAGTGGTGAGCTTGAGGTTCGGTAGTGCTCTAGCCATGGCAGTGTGGTGGGGGCCACTGGGTAGAGAGGGGAGGTGGTATATGGGTTTAGATGGAAGGGAGAAAGGAAAGTAAGGAAAGAAAAAAGCTGTGCAGTGGGAGGGGGTGGGGTGGGCTTGGAGGGGGACTTGTATTGTGGACTCTGGTGGTGGTGGCTGCTGGAGTGGGGGGCGATTCTTGCTTCTACTCGCCAGAAGGGTGAGGGGTGGGAAAGTGTGTTTCTGTGGTTACTGGGTGCTCTATCTCCTGTTGGAGCTTCCTGAAGTTGTCTTCCCCCAATGTCCAGGGTCATTGCTGACTGTGCTTCAAAATGGCTAGGCTGTGCCATGTTAGTTGGCAGGGGACCTCCACTCTGTATCTCTCCTCGTTCTCTGTTTTCTGTCAGTTTCCTTTTCATTTGGTATTTAATCTAGTTCTTTATCCCTTCGTTTGATGCTCAGGTTTCAGGATTGACATTTATATCTGTTTTACTTAGTTTTTTGGGTCTTTGTTGTAGAGATGGTGTGGTGCATCTGTCTAGGGCACCATGTTGTCTCTGTCTTTCCTTCCATCTTCTTTTGATGCTTCCTGCATCATTCAATATTTTGCCCATAGAATCCTTCAATGTTGCCACTCGAGGCTTGCGTTTTTTCTTCAGTTCTTTCAGCTTAAGAAATGCCAAGCGTGTTCTTCCCTTTTGGTTTTCTAACTCCAGGTCTTTGCAAATTTCATTATAACACTTTTCTTTGTCTTCTCAAGCTACGCTTTGAAATCTTCTGTTCAGCTCTTTTACTGCATTATTTCTTCCATTTGCTTTAGCTATTCTATGTTCAAGGGCAAGTTTCAGAATCTCTTCTGACATTCATTTTGGCCTTTTCTTTCTTTCCTGTCTTTTTAATAACTTCTTGCTTTCTTCATGTATGATGTGCTTGATGTCATCTCACAGTTGGTCTGGCTGTACTAGTTGCAAAACAGATGTCTTCAGAAAAGGATTCTTTCCAATGCATTCTTAATCACAGCAAACAGCCTCTTAATCTTCTTTAAATGGAGATTACTTGTAACAAGTTTAAATTTTATGAATAATAATCCAACGTTTTTTCTTCATATATTAAGGTGTTTGTATGGTTTTTCTTTTTTGCCTATTAATGTGGTAAAATAAAATTGATTTTCAAATACATTTTTGGGCTAAACTGCATTTGGTCATGAGGTATTATACTTTTTATATATTGTTGGATTTGATATATTAAAATTCTGTAGACTTTTTTTGGTATCTGTCATGGATTGAGTTATGTCTCCCCAAAAATGTGTGTATCAATTTGCCTGGGCCATGATTCCTGGTATTGTGTGATTTTCCCATATGTTGTAAATCCTGCCTCTATGATGTTAATGAGGGAGGATGGGCGGCAGTTGTGTTAGTAAACCAGAACTCAATCTACAAGATTGGATTGTGTCCTGAGGCTATCTCTTGAGATATAAAAGAGAGAAGTGAGCAGAGAGACAAGGGGACCTCATACCACCAAGAAAGAAGTACTGGGAGCAGAGTGTGTCCTTTGGACCCTGGGTCCCTACATGGAGAAGCTCCTAGTCCGGGGGAACGCTAATGAGAAGGCCAAGAGAAAGCCTTCCCCTGGAGCTGACACCCTGAATTTGGACTTTTAGCCTGCTTTACTATGAAGAAATAAATGTCTCTTTGTTAAAGCCATCCACTTGTGGTATTTCTGTTATAGCAGCACTTACATGACTAAGACAGTGTCTATGTTCATGAGAGATATTTTTGTATAGTTTTCTTATCCTGTAATGTTTTTGCCTGGCTTTTGGTATCAGAGTAATGCTGGCCTCGTATAATTAATTGGGTGGCGTCCCCACCTCTTCTATTTTCTGAAAGAGTTTGTACAGTATCAGCATTATTTCTTCCTTAAATGTTTGGTAGAATCCATCCATTTTCATTAGAAAGTCATGCTGGAGGCGAAAGGCCTAAAGAGCACAACCTAAAAGTCAGGTGCCTGGGGATCTCTAAGATTTGAGGATCCCTCTTTCCTTAAGATTCAAACAGAAAGAATAAATCTGGGCCTTCATTTCATTTATTATGGAAAACAGGCATGTCCAAAATAACTCTGTGGATTCATTTGGGCTTATGTTTCTACTGGCCACCACATATTCTAGTATCTTTGTTCTCGTAAATTCTCTGTCTCTATGTGATTCTTGCCTCAGGTGATTCCTGCCCTCTTTCCACATCAGCAACACAGGGTGGACCTTGCTGTATATTCTTTCATTCCCCAAAGTACCACTAACACAAGGCTTCTGTGTATGGTTTGCGATAACAGCAGGAATTTATAACATAGCTTACCATTTAAAATTTAATATTAGATACAATTGCTCCACAAAATTCACTGGTCATCTCCCACCATGATCTATAGCCATGATGCTGATACATTTTATTCTCTTCACATTTCTCCAGCTAAAATTAAATAGGAGTTCCTGGCTAGGCTCAGTGTTTAACCAAAATAATGATATCCACATTTAGAATGGTTCTTGGAACACAGTATAGAGTATAAGTAATTACTCGATGAATTAATGAATCCCTTATCATTTAGATTTTTCAAATAAATTATTGAGCAGTTTGCTAAAATCAGAGCTCTAGAGACATTCCTGAATATAAAATATACATCTACAAACCTCAGAAATACGTTAAAATGTTAAATTAGTTTATATTTTTGGTATTTCATTGAAATTTCAACATGTCTTTCATATTTGCAGACAGTGTTTATTAGATGTACAATAATATTTTAAAAATGTCTATCAGCCTTTAACATTCACAATTTTTAAATGACAATCATTCAGGAAATAATTCAGTAAAAAGTAAACATTTTAAATAGCAAGTTTAGAAATACAAGAACTGTTGTCCCATAATTTTGTTTCATCAAAAATATTATCTTTGATTCATCACTCGTGGTTTGTTACAACATTGGTCAACTAATCCTAAGTAAAATCTATCCATCTTGTGTACTAATTAGATCTAAGGAAGAATAGGAGAATCCAAGGGTGAGAGGGCCTAAGAATGTTAGGCCCCTCTGAGACTTGTAGAGGTCATTATTGGAATGTAATTTTGGGTGAGCCAAATCCTCTGCAATTGTTGATGACTATTTGAAGTGCTTCCTCCACTCTTTCCATTGTAGAATATTTGGGGAGGTCCAGGATATTATAACATGTCACTGATCTTGGCCCATCGTTTTCACTGAAAGTTTCAGGACAGCGAAATACTATTCCACTTTTCCTTATACCTTCTACATTCAGTCTATCACTTCCTGTAAGAAAAACTAGAAAGGAATAAAATCTAGTTAAGATTTTTAATAGAAAGAACAAAACTTAAAATGAAAAGGAGAAAATGAATCACTTCATTGAATAAATAACTTGAGTCCTCGTGCAGAAAGAATTACATAGGGCCATGAAGAGTGTAGAAAAATCATGACATTTGGTCATTGTCTTCGTGAATTCACAGTCTAGTTGGTGGAAAATTACATACATTGAGGGAAAAGATAATAGCAAGATACAAGCAAGTTTGATTTGGCTCAAGAAGAAGTATGAGGTAAAGAGTCTAATGGAGGCACTGAGGGCAGGGGGAGAGATGCAAGGCAGTGGTCGTCAGAGAGCGTTCACAGAGATCATAACTAGTTAGTTTCTCAAGAGGGGGATTTGGAGAGGCAGAGAGAAGTTGTGTGAGCATTTAAGTCAGAGGAAAAAGATAAAAAAGAAAAGAAAAAGCCAGAGGTGGGAAGGTGTAAGGTCAACTCACGGAATGTACAGACAATGGAATCACTGGGCTGAAGCAAAGGTTTCCTGTACCAGAGAAGACTGGAAAGGTAGTTTGGGCTTGTGGAGAAGTTGCAACAAAAATAGCAAGAAGAAAAATGTGTATTTCAGGAAGAGGTGATTGTTATGGATTGATTGTGTCCCCCAAAAATACATGTTGTAAATCCTAACCTCTATGCCTGTGTTTATAATCCCGTTTGGGAATGGGTTGTCTTTGTTATGTTAACGAGGCAGGATTAGTGTAGGGTGTGTCTTGAGTCAAGGTCTTTTGAGATATAACAGAGATTAAACAAGCAAACTAGCAAGCAGAGATGGGGGTAGATAGATGCCAAGCCACATGGAGATCTCCAAGGAACCAGGAAACAAGCTGAAGAGACAAGGACCTTCCCTTAGAGCTGACAGAGAGAAAGCCTTCCCCTAGAGCCAGAACCCTAAATTCAGACTTCTAGCCTCCTAAACTGTGAGAAAATAAATTCCTGTTTGTTAAAGCTATCTACTTATGGTATTTCCATTATAGGAGCACTAAAAAACTAAGACAGTGATGAAATGGGATGAGAAGGCAAGCAAATAAGTCATTAGGTCTATTGTAGGGAAGGCTTAGGGTTTCTACCAAGAGAAGTTCTTATACCATGAGGTCACACAGCTTAGTGGTCAAGAGCCTGGGCTTTGGAGTCAGCCTTTGGGGTTCAAATTCTGTTCTGACACTAACCAGTGGTCTGAACGTGGGCAAGCTACTAATCAGTGGTCTGAACATGGGCAAGCTTCAAGCCTCTTTTTCCTCTTGTCTGAAATAGGAAAAAATAATAGTACTTACCTCATAGAGTGATCAGTGTAGTAGTGCCTGGCACAGAGTAAGCATGCAATAAATGTTGTTGTGTTATTATCCTCTGTTGTTATTGCTATTATTATTTCTAAAATATTATTAGTTACAGTTTCCATGGTCCTGAGACATAGATGATTAAATGAAGGATGGGATGTGAGATAAATGGCTTGTTAAAGAGTCAACCAGGTTCTCATGGAATTCAGATTTTCTGGAGTCATAGAGGTCGGATGAACCCCTAAAATTATCACCTTGAGATAAACTTTAAACCTTAAACCAAAAATATCCCCTGAAGTCTTCTTAAAACCAAACAATAGTTTAGCTTAACTAGTAAAGAATATCCTCCTTGAGCATTGTGCTCTTTTAAGAACTATCTATATGGCATCAAACTGACAACAGCAACTCAAAAGTTTAGATACAAACCTTAGGGGGCAGTGAGTTTATGTTAATAGGGGAGGAACAATTTAGAAAAGGAGGGTGAGATGGTTGTATAATTTGAAGAATGTAATCAATGTCACTGAATTGGACATGCACATATTGTTAAATTGGTATATGTTGTGCTGTGTATAGTCTCAACAACAACAAATAAAATAAATTACATATAAAAAAAGAGTCAACTGGAGTGAGGAAAGAAGATACAATCTAAAAACTGTAGGTGGGATTAGAATCAGTAGAAAAGGAAGTAAAATATATATTATTATTATTATTATTATTATCTTAGTGGGAAACCAGCTTGTATAAGAGAAAGAAGGCAGGGGACCTGGATTCTAATAGTTATTCTGCCATCAACACATAATTTACCATTAATAATGCCTTTATCACAAATAAGATTTTATATATATCTAATTACAGATCCATCTTTCAATGTAATACTTACAGAGGAATTTTCTCTTCTCATCCAAAGTTAATTTGTGGAAAGCTTTCCAGAACATCAGAATAGTTGGATGTGATTTGTGGTATCCTTGATCGTACATTGCATTCTTGGAAGAAGAAGGAGAAGAATAGTTTTGGGAGGATAATATAGAAATTGTTCGGAAGAATTTGAGACACTTTAGGTATCACTTACCTTTTCAAAATTTTCCCAGTCATAATCAGTATTTCCAACTATTGCTGACATTAGTTCTTCAGGCTGGAAATACTGAATTATCTCCTCATCACAGACTCTGTAAAATCCTCTCTGAAATTCCTCATAGACTTCCTTTATGGAGGTGTTAAAGATGTAATCAACACATTTAGAAGCATAGTCGTTCCTTGAGGGAAACCAGAAAGAAAAAGGAAATGGCCAATGACATAATTTACCACTGATTAAAATAGTCTGTACTTTGTCCTTTATTACCATCTCTATTGAGAAAGAAAATTTATTTTTGCATATTACATAACCCTGCACAATATGGTTTCAGCTAAAAGGGACCTTAGAAAATATAAACAGAAGGATTATGACTTTGTTTTGCTCCCATTTTCCTTACTGCAGTCAAGTTTTTATTTCTCCTTCGCATTTTTTTTTTAATTATGGTAAAAACATGTAACAAATCACTTGCCTTTTCAACTTTCTTCACATGTACAATTCAGTGACATTAGTTATGTTTATCACGTTTCTAAATTTTCCCATCACCCTTAACAGAAGCTCACTGTCCCCTAAGCAGTGAGTCCCCCTTTTCCCTTGCCTCCTTCTTGCTCCTGGTAACCTCTAATAAACTTTGGTCTCTGTATACTTGCCTATACTAGACATTTCATATAAGTGGAATCATATAATATTTGTCCTTTTGAACTGACTTATTTCACTCAATATGTTTTCAAGTTTCATTCACATTGTAGCATGTAAGGATAATTTTTTTAAAACACTAATCTGAATATGTCATTGTACTATTTAAAATCTTTCAGAGGCTTCCCATTGCCTTTATGATAAATTCCAAACCTACTTAACAAGGATCAAAAATTGCTCTATAATCTGACCCTTGCCAGACCCAACAGCCTTTTCCCATTTTCATTTTTATCTTTAGCCATAACTGAAAAACTCGAACCCATTGTCACTGAGTTGAGTCTGACTCATAGCGACCATTTAGGACAGAATAGAGCTGCCCCCAAGGGTTTCCAAGATTGTAATCTTTACAGAAGCAGACTGCCCCATCTTTCTCCCATGGAGCGGCTGGTGGCTCCAAACTGCTGACCTTTTGGTTAGCAGCCAAGCGCTTAACCACTGCACCACCAGGGCTTCTTCTTTAGCCATAAACCAAAACTAAACCCACTGCCATTGAGTCAATTACAACTCACAGCGACCCTGTGGGACAGAGTAGAACTGCCCCATAGGGTTTCCAAGGCTGTGATCTTCACGGAAGCAGACTGCCACATCTTTCTCTCTCAGAGCGGCTGGTGGGTTCAAACTGCTGACCTTTCAGTTAGCTGCTGAGCATTTAACCACTGTGCCACCAGGGCTCCTTTCTTTAGCCATACTGACGTTCAAGTCATCATCTTACTGTCCCTCTTTTGCAGCTAGTCTCAGCGTGTATTACTTCCTTTTCATCCGGCAACTTTTATCATCCATCGGATCTCAGAATGAACATGACTTTCTCAAGGTGGGTCCTTGTGCTCTTCTCCCCCACCCCTCTCACAACATACATCACTTTCTGGAAATTATGTCTGCAGGGCCTGGCTTCACTACCTGATGAATTTCCTGATGGCAGGGGCTGTATCTTCATATTCCACATATCTAACATACTACCAGGCCTAAAGTAGAGCTGCAATAAACATCTTCAGTGAACAAATAATTATGCATATGACTGCCCAGAACAAGACCAGCAGTAGCTATCCATGGGTTGACCCCAGTTTTGAAAGATTTTTGTATTATTTATCTAGTGCTGCTATAACAAAAATACCACAAGTGTACAGCTTCACAAACAAGTTTATTCTCTCACAGTCTAGTAGGTTAGAAGTCCAAATTCAGGGCGTCAGCTCCAGGGGAAGGCGTTCTGTCTCTGTCAGCTCTGGAGGAAGGTCCTTGTCATCAATCTTCCCCTGGACTAGGAGCTTCTCTGCACAGGAACCCCGGGTCCAAAGGACGTGATCTGCCCCTGGCGCTGCTTTCTTCGTGGTGTGAGATGCCCCCTCTCTGCTCGCTTCCCGTTCCTTTTATCTCTTGTAAGATAAAAGGTGGTGCAGGCCACACCCCAGGGAAACTCCCTTTACATTGTATCAGGGATGTGACCTGAGCAAGGATGTTATATTCCACCCTAATCCTCTTTAACATAATCCAATCTTGCCTCATTAACCACAGGCAGAGATTACAACAGGTAGGAAAATTACAATCACAAAATGGAGGACAACCACACAATACTGGGAATCATGGCCTAACCAGTTTGACATATATTTTTGGGGGACACAATTCAATCCATGACAATTATCCACCTCACTGGCCATTCATCACATTAGACTTCCTATATCCCACAATCTGATTCATCTAGCATAGCAAGGGGAATAATTTGAATGATAGCTCATACTATTAGGTAGCCAGAACATCACAATAACCTCCTCTCTGAAGCTCCACACGCCTTGATAAGCAGAGAGCCAGGATGCCCTAATTTATAGGGCTGCCCTAACATTGGTAAAAAAAATAACTTCACCTAGGTTTGTTCTATTCTGAAAATCATAAGCTCTACTTGCACAGACAACTCGCCTAAGAGTTTATTTAACCAACCTTTAAAATCTGAACTCTTCATCTCATCAGCTCCCATATGTTCAGTTAACACATAAATTCATATATAAGAGCAAGCACCAAATCGGGACAATCACAGCAAACAAAAAAAAACCCAATTTATACTTGTGCAGCACAAGTCACAATAGCCAAAAGGTGGAAATAGCCTAAATGCCCATCAACAGATGAATGATAAACAAAATGTAGTATATACATACAATAGAATATTACTCAGTCATAAAGAGAAATGAGGTCCTGGCACATGCTACAACATGGATGAACCTTGAGAACATTGTGCTGAATGAAATAAGTCAGACAAAAATGACAAATATTGTGTGATCCCACTTGTATGAAATATCTCAAATAGGCGAGCATATGGAGATGAAAGATCATTGGTGGTTGCCAGGGGCTGATGGGAGGGAGGGGGAAAGGAGGACACAATGCTTGGGGGACACTGAGCTTCTGTTGAGGATGGTGGAGGAAATGGGGAACGGTGGTGATGGTTGAGCAACATGATGGGTGTGATTAATGTCACTGAACTGTGCATATGATGACTGTTGAAGTGGCAAGTGATTACCAATATATTTACCAACAACAAAACTGATTAAAAAAAACCAATATAACAGAAAACATAGTAATTTATCTCTATTTTCCACATTTAATCTGGAATCACTAAGTGCTTAGTGCTAGACACTGAGCTGGCTCTTGTTTTCTCCCGATGCTTCAACCATAACACATAAACTTGGACTCAAAAAGCTACTGTGGCCTGTACTTACATGAGTTTTTTTAATGTATATATGTTCATGCATACGCATATGTATTTATTTGTCTCCATTTATTTTAAATATAAGCTCATTCTGGATATCAGTCACTCTCTCTAACCACGTGTTATGGATTGAAATATGTGTTGTAAATCCTAACCCCTATACGTGTGAATATAATCCCTTCAGGGACTAGGGTTTTCTTTGTTATGTTAATAAGACTATACCATTGTAGGGTGTGTCTTAAACCATTCATTTTTAAGATATAAAAGGAACAGTTTAGGCACAGAAGGAAGCAGAAAGATTGGGGTCATGTGGATATCACCAAGGAACCAAGGAATAGAAACTGAAAGAGATGAGGATTTTCCCCCAGAGTGGATAGAGGAAGTGTTATGGATTGAATTGTGTCCTCCCAAAAATGTGTGTATCAGTTTGGTTAGGCCATGATTCCCAGTGTTGTGTGGTTGTCCTCCATTTTGTGATTGTAATTTTCCATTAAAGAGGATTGGGTGGGATTGTAACACCACCCTAACCCAGGTCACTTCCCTGATCCAATGTAAAGGGAGTTTCCCTGGGGTGTGGTCTGCACCACCTTTTACCTTACAACAGATAAAAGGAAAGGGAAGCAAGCAGAGAATTGGGGACCTCATACCACCAAGAAAGCAGTGCCAGGAGCAGAGTGTGCCCTTTGGACCAGGGTCCCTGTGCAGAGAAGCTCCTAGTCCGGGGGGACATTGATGAGAAGGCCAATGGAGAGAGAAAGCCTTCTGCTGGAGCTGATGCCCTGAATTTGGACTTTTAGCCTACTTTGCTGTGAGGAATTAAACTTCTCTTTGTTAAAACCACCCACTTGTGGTATTTCTGTTATAGCAGCACTAGATGACTAAGACAGGAAGTCTTCCCCTAGAGCTGATGCCCTGAATTCGGACTTCTAGCCTTCTAAGCTGTAAGAGAATAAGTTTCTGTTCCTTAAAGCCAATCTCTTGTAGTATTTCTGTTACAGCAGCACAAAGAAATTAAGACACTGTGAATTCACAAATCTGTCATTCCTTACCTAGTTAGGAGGAGCTGACCTGGCACTCAGGGAGGTATGGCAAGTTGGCTGAAGACTAAAATACCAGAAATAGGAATAATAGTCCTCTTTCCATTCCTCTTATCCTCCTTCCTTCCACCTGTTCTCCCTTCTTCTTCATCCATTCATCCATCTACCCAATTTTCCAGCCAATTTATATAATATGCTAGGGCTGGGCTAGGTGCTGGAGATACAATGCTGAAGATGATAAACATGGTCCATAGAGATTTTCAAAAGAGGTCACCATTAAACAACCCATTATTTTGTTCCTTCTCTCAGGATCTTTGCGTTTGCTGGTCTTTCTGCCCGTAAGTATTTCCCCCGGATACCTGCATGACTGTCTCCTACTCTTTGAGCAGCCTTCCTGGGTGTGTAGTTGTGTGCTGTCGAGTCCATTCTGACTCATAGCAACCCTATAGGACAGAGTAGAACTGCCTCATATGGTTTCCTAGGCTGTAATCTTTACGGGGGGTGGGGGGGGGATCCTGGTGGTGCGGTGTTTAAGAGCTTGGCTGCTAACCAAAAGGTTGTCAGTTCCAATCTAGCAGCGGCTCCTTGGAAACTCTATGGGGCAGCTCTACTCTGTCCTATAGGGTCACTACGAGTCAGAATCAACTGGACAGCAATGGGTTGTTTAGAATCTTTACGGGAACAGATTGCCAGTTCTTTTCTCCCAGGGCGTTTGAACCGCCAGCCTTTCCATTAGCAGCCCAGCGCTTTAACGGTTGCGCTACCAGGGCTCCTTCTTCCTGGACTGGCCTATCTAAATCAACCCCCTTCTGCTCTCCCCTGAAACCAGTGGTGTACTGGTAAAAGGTTAACAACTGGCTGTCTGAAAAGAAAAGAGAGAGCAAGAGAGAGAGCAAGCTAGTGCACACAAGCAAGCCAGCCTTCATTTGCAGTATTTGCTGACTTCTATGGAGTAAGTGAAACCCCAGAGGCACAGTGGTTAAGAGCTACGGCTGCTAACCAAACAGTCAGCAGTTCAAATCTACCAGGTGCTCCTTGGAAACTCTATGGGACAGTTCTACTCAGTCCTATAGGGTCGCTATGAGTAGGAATCCACTCAATTGGCAACAGGTTTGGTTTTTATGGAGTAAATATCCCCATCGCAGCAGATTTCAAGCTACTAATGCTTTAACAACCAGCTTTCAGAATTTCTGAAAGTTTAACAATCAGCTCTCACAAGCTGGTACCAGCTGTTTCCAGCATATCACTGTTTGTAGCTCTCTAGTCCCTTAATTGGCTTTACATTTTTTCAGAGGGCTTGTCCTTATCTGATACCGTATTACATTCTACCACACTGGAATTTAAGCTCCAGATTTTGTCTGTCGTGCTCACTGCTGTATCTCTAGCACCTAGAATGGGGTCTGGCACAGAGTTGTTGTTGTGTGCCATGGAGTTGATTCTGACTCCGAGTGACCCCGTGTGACAGAGTAGAACTGCCCCATACAGCTTTCTCAGTTGTACTCTTTGCCAGGTCTTTCTCCCATGGAGCCACTGGGTGGGTTTGAACTGCCAATCTTTCCGTTAGCAGCCAAGTGCTTAACGGTCACACCATCAGGGCTCCTCCTGGCACAGAGTAGGGGCTCAAAAATATTTGTTAAATGAATAAATAGTTGTGATGGTTAAGATTGTGTGTCAACTTGGCTGGGCCATGATTCTCAGGGTTTTCATGTAATCACACCCATGTTTGAATATACTGTGAATAGCCAATCAGATGAAAGGGAGTCTCCTTGGAGGTGTGACCCGCATCTGTATATAAGCAGACATTCTGGCTTTTTGCTCTCTCTGGATCCTGCGGCTGCTTCCTGTCGTCTCATCTCCCATGCTTGGGACTTGACTTGTCAGCTTATCTGCCGAACCTGGGATTCGTTGATCTGCACAGCCTGTGAGCAGGAGCCCCTCTCTCGGACCTGCCGATCTTGGGGTCGCCAGCTTCTGCAGCTGTGTGACTTGGGAGAGGCCTCTACCCTGATTCACGGACTTGTGACGTCCTAGCCTCTACAATCACGTGAGCTGTTTCCTTGATATAATCTCTCTATATATATATGTTTATACACTTTACTGGTTTTGCTTCTCTAGAGAACCCAGCCTAAGACAATAGTGAACAGTGCTGCGAAGGAAATATTTAATCCTTTCTTCCCTTCTTTTACTTTATAACCTTTTTATCTTTCTGAATGATGAGTAGTTGAACTTATAACCTGAGAAGTGAAAGTACATTTTTAAAGTCTAGGATAAATATGTTTTACCTGTATTCAAAGTAGATAGTCTAGGTCTCAAAACTTACTTGTTGGTTTGGTCCACAGGTATAGATACCCCATTTGGAACTAAATCAACATGATTTTTGTCCCAATATATCTGTAACAAAAATGTATTCAGGTATAAAACATGAAAGTGTGAAAAATCAACTACCCATAATACCATTATTGCCAGTACATTTTTCCTTAGAGAATTTAAAAATAACTAAAACTAAGTAATTATTTGTGTAGTTCAACCTTTTAAATAAGCATAAAAATAAAAAATTATCAGGTCATCCTATCCTAGAACATGTTGTACATGCTTTTAGGCATAACTCATTCCATTTATTTATTTACATTGTTCCCATTAATTGAACAATTGTTCTATCTTCACTTTATTGTCAGTATATAGACATAAGGCATTAAATGAGGAGAGGGTGGGAGGGTCCTGCAGTACAGAAGTAAAATATCTTTAAAAAAAGGATCCCCTACAATCAGAACAGAATGAATGAGAAATGACACATTGTGAAAAATGTAACCAATATCACTGAATAATTTGTGTAGAAATTATTAAATGGGAACTTAATTTGCTGTGTAAACTTTCACCTTAAACACAGTAAAATACTATTTAAAAAAAAGAGATCTTTAATTCAACATTGTTGTTGTTTTTAGTTGCCACCGAATTGGCTGTGACTCCTGGCAACCCCATGTGTTCAGAGTAGAACTGCTCCCTCCATAGGGTTTTCAAGGCTGTAACCTTTTGGAAGCAGATTGCCAGGCCTTGCTTCCAAGGTGCTTCTGGGTGGGTGTGAACCATCAGCCTTTTGGCTAGTAGTTGAGTGTTTAATCATTTACACTACCCAGGGGCTACCTATTTAAGATACTATTAGATAAATAAAAATAAAAATAATTTTAAAAACCATGATTAATGTAATTGGTGTCACTAAATTGTACGTGTGAAAAACATTAAATTGGCAAATGTTGTGTTATATATATTTTTCACAAAAAACAAACAAACAAACAAACAACCAGATTAAACCTAAACTATAACATGGCTTTCATTAGTACTCACAGAAAAAAAAATGTAAAGTTCTCCGAGGTCATCAGCTTCATCATTTAGAACTTCTTGCAAACTCCTAATGAAAATTTTGGTTTAAAAATTATATTTATTGATCTCACAAAATTTTAAAAGTAATAAAAGTTCACTAAAAAAAAATAGAAATACATAAAATGCAATGTAAATTTCCTCTCTTCCACGTTCCCAATACCTCTTCCTAGAGCTAACCTCTGTTTACAGTTCGAGTTGTTGGACCACTGCTACCACACAGATACTGAGGGAGTTACAAAAAGGTGTCCCTTCCTCTAGATCAGTGATTCGCAAACAGTGGTGATTCTGTCCCCCAGACATTTAACAAAGGCTGGAGACATCTTTGGTTGTCATGACTTGGGGGATGGTTGCTATTGGCATTTAGTGGCAGTGCTGCTAATCATCCTACAATGCACAGGATAGCCCCCTACTACAAAGAATTATCCAGCCCAAAATGTCAATATTGCTGAAGCTGATAAACCCTGATCTACACATCAGGGCATACAGTGTCGATCTAGCTGGTTTATTTCTCTATTAACAGCGTACGAGAACAGAGAATCCTTTCCCCCCAATCTGTTGCCAACCCTATATTTTATTAAAAATAATCTTTAATAGTTGTCAATGTGTAAGCAGAAAATGACATCTTATTTGCATTTCTTCAGTTCTAGTGAGGTTGAGCACATCTTCATTCTGTAATCAGCTATACACATATATATGTATGTATGTTGTTGTTAGTTGCTCTCGAGTCATGAAAACCCTATGTGTGCAGAGTAGAACTGCTCCAGAGGGTTTTCAAGGCTGCAATTTTATGGAAGCAGATCACCAGGCCTGTCTTCTGAGGCACCTCTGGGTGGGTTCGAACCACCAATCTGTAGGCTAGTAGTTGGGCCCTTAACTGTCTGCACCACCCAGGTTTTGTCTTCACTGAGTCCTAAACAAATCAGACTCATTTTCGTCTCTGTGTTTTCTATCCAGCAGTATAGCATAATATGTAAGAGTGAAGGCTTTGGGGTCAGACAGTCCTGAATTCATATCCTGGCTTTATCACTTGCTAGTTGTATGTCCACTGTCAATTTATAAATCTTGACTCAATGGCAACTAACAACATCAACCATATATACACACACAGTGGCTCAGCTGCTAGCCAAAATCCACCAGCCACTCCTTGGAAACCCTATTGGGGGAGTTCTGCTCTGTCCTATAGGGTTGCTATGAGCTGGAATCAGCTTGATGGCAACAGGTTTGGTTTTATTTTGGTATATATTTATATAGCAATACAAATATTTCTACATATTTATACATCAGGGATCTTTTGTCTATCATATATGTTGTCAGTATTTTCCTCACAGGGTCTAGTTTGCTCTTTAACTTAGAACAAGTATTTTTCTACCCTTAAAAAAAAATTATTAAAAAAAATAAATTATGACACGCTGAAATAATATTTAAGATAAGTATAGCATGGATGATTCTCACTCAGGATATTGTATACTGTCCAAAGCAACTGTTTCCATGTGGATAATTTTAAGGGACCAGGTCAAAACTCTGTTCATCATACCAGTACCAGTTGCCGTTGAGTCGACTCTGACTCATGGTGACCCCATGTGTGTCAGAGAAGAACTGTGCTCCAGAGGGTTTTCAGTGGCTGATTTTTTGGAAGTAGATCACCAGGCCTTTCTTCCAAGGTGCCTCCGAGTGGATTCGAACCACCAACCTTTCAGTTAGCAGATGAACATGTTAACTGTTTGCACCACCCAAAGACTCCCTATTTATTGTACTGGTTGATAATTAGAAAAGCATTTGGCTGTTCTCCATTTTTGAAGGTTTGCTGTATTATAAGTCATGCTAAAATTCAAAGTCATATAAAGTGCATACATTCACTGAAATTGAAAATCTTGTCTGTATGTGTCTGTGTGTGTAAAATATTCTTTATTTGTGCCTAAACAACCAAGATTTACTAGATATAATCTAGGAAAAGCAATTGCATTTACTTACTTCCCAAGAAGAGGACTGAGTTCTTTTAAATCTTCCAGTGATGGTTTTTGGCCCAGAAGTTTCTTAAACAGAGCCAGTGGGAAAGGAAGGTTGACAACGTTTAGATGGAATAAGGAGAGGCCACACAGTACCCCAAAGAGGAAATATCTATTCTTCTCAACTTTAGGCTGAAAAAGGAGGAGAAAAAAAATTGCCAATGTATTATGAATGATCCCTAATAGAAAGGGATAATTAGATTAGTAAGATTTTTGTATTTCCTTTTCTTAAAAATGACAGATTAGAAACAAAATTGGCTCTAGGAAAGTAAAAATTTGCATTTCTTATACAGGCTATTTTAAATACAAATCAATGGTTCTGAACATTAAATAAATTAAATGAACATCTATTTTTTTGTTACTAACAGATCTGGAATATAAAAAAAATACACTCAGCTATCCTTATAAATTGGAGTTTCCACTATTGAATTTTATCTCTGCCTTCAAATTCATGTATAAAGGCAAAACTGAGAAAGGAAAGGAGCATTGTTATGGACTGAATTATGGCCCCCAAAAATGTACGTTGGAGTCTTGACTCTTATTGCACCTATGGATGTAATAGTATTTGGAAATAGTGCTTTCTTTGTTACGTTAATAAGGCCATATCTGTGTAGTGTGTAAACCTAACCACTTCTGAGTGATATAAAGATAGAGACATGTAAGCACAAATTGGGGAAGATAGATGCCACGTCATGTGACGATCAATAAAAAACTGAGGAATTCTGGAAGAGACAAGGTTCTTCCCCCCAGGGTGGACAGAGAGAGTGAGAGCCTTCCCCTAGAGCCTGAATTCAGTCTTTTAGTCTTCTGAATGATGAGAATTTTTTTTTTTTTTTAAGTCACTCTCTTCGGTATTTCTGTTACAGCAGCACTAGTAAACTAAGACACTTTTACTGGACATCAAACATGTCGGATGGGTGCCATGAGGGGTGTCTCCTTCAGCACTGCAGTCCACAGCCTAGATGTGCTTCCAGGGCGAAGCTTATGGGTCAGGGAAGGTAACTGATGCTGCTGACCATGAAGGTGGGTGGAAGAAAGAAGGAGAAGATAGAATCTGACAAAGTTGGCTTCACTTCTCTCTACATTTTGTAGTCCTAGATGAGAGAAAATACTGGCTTCATCTGTCCAGGCCAACACTTAGCCCACTGGAGTGATCACTAGCCTGAAAATACTAAGATTTAGATTCCTGAAACATTCTTACTGTTAGCATGACATTGGGTCACTCACATAACATTCTGTGCCTCAATCTACTTGCCCTATTAACTTCTGAGAGTGATTGTTGGGCTAAATATTAAAAACGCATTTGATGTCACTGAATTATACATGTAAAAATTGTTGAATTGGCAAGTGTTTTGCTACATATATTTTTACCACAATAAGAAATACTTGTGGATTTTTAAAATAAGTTAAAAGTACAAGTGATCTCCAAAACTGGCCGTACCTAACCTAATCAGTCTTATTTCCCATGATTTGTAATGTGTCCCCTGGGTTCCAGTTGCTTTTGTCTTTTCACTGAGTCCTAAACACATCAGACTCATTTTCATCTCTGTGTTTTCTATCCAGCAATATAGCGTAATGCTTTGGGGTCAGACAGTCCTGACATCATGTTGTTGCTTCATCATTTTCTCATTGGCAATTTATTTAATCTCTCTGAACCTCCATTTCTTCTTCTGTAAAATGGGAATAAACCACCTACCTCACAGCGTTGAGGTAAGGTTTATTTTTCTTCTCTCCTTCCTCCACTTGCATCTATCTTTTGGATCCACTTCATACCTATCCTGCAACATCAACCTCAAGTCTCAATTTCTTTATGACACTTTCCCCAGACACTTCAGTCTTCTTTGATTTCATTCTGTACTAATTAAGAAGCCTTTAAGTTTGTATGGAGCCCTGGCGGTGCAGTGGTTAAGAGCTTGGCTGCTAGCCAGAAGGTCAGCAGTTTGAATCTACCAGCAGCTTCTTGGAAACTCTAGGGGCAGTTCTACTCTGTCCTATAGGGTCTCTATGAGACAGCAATGGGTTTGTTTTTGTTTGTTTGTTTAAGTTTGTATAGCCCCTTTAAAGTTTTCATGATGCTTTCATACTTTCACATACCTTGTTTTATTCTCGTGACAGCCCTATAAAGCATTCAGAGCAAAAATTATGTCCGTTTTATAGATGAACAAACTGAAAACCTGGAGGCTAAATGATTTGCTCATGATTCCTCAAGACTAGAACTATGGGATTATGATCCCACACCAGGGCTTCCTTTCCCACCTGCCATGCTTCTCAACAACAATTACACTTAAAGAGTCTTTGTTGTTGCCAGGTGCCTTCGAGTCGGTTCCAACTTATAGTGATCCTATGAACGACAGAACGAAACACTGCCCCGTCTTGTGCCATCCTCACAATCATTGTTATGCTTGAGCCCATTGTTGCAGCTACTGTGTCAATCCATCTCCTTGAAGGTCTTCTTCTATTTTGATCACCCTGTACTTTACCAAGCATGATGTCCTTCTCCAGAGACTGGTCCCTTCTGGTAACATGTCCAAAGTATGTGAGACAAAGTATCACCGTACTTGCTTCTAATGAGCATTCTGGCTGTACTTCTTCCAAGACAGATTTGTTCGTTTTTCTGGCAGTCTATGGTATATTCAATACTCTTCAGTATTCTTTGCCAACACCATAATTTAAAGGCATCAATTCTTCTTCACTCTTCTTATTCATCATCCAGCTTTCATATGCATATGAGGCGATTGAAAATACCATGGCTTGGGTCAGGTGCACCTTAGCCCTTAAAGTGATATCTTTGTTTTTTAACACTTTAAAGAGGTCTTTTGCAGCAGATTTGTCCAGTGCAATGTGTCATTTGATTTCTTTGACTGCTACTTCCATGGGCATTGATTGTGGATCCAAGTAAAATGAAATCCTTGACGACTTCATTCTTTTCTCTGTTTATCATGATGTTGCTTATTGGTCTAGTTGTGAGGATGTTTGTTTTCTTTATGTTGAGGTGTAATCCATACTGAAGGCTGTGGTCTTTGATCTTCATCAGTAAGTGCTTCAAGTCCTCTTCACTTTCCGCAAGCAAAGTTGTGTCATCTTCATATCACAGGTTGTTAATGAGTCTTCCTCCAATCCTGATGCCACATCCTTTTTCATATACTCCAGCTTCTTGGATTATTTGCTCAGCATACAGACTAAATAAGTATGGCGAAAAGATACAACCCTGACATACACCTCTCTTGACTTTAAACCATGCAGTATTTCCTTGTTCTGTTTGAATGACTGCCTCTTTGTCTAAGTACAGGTTCCTCATGAGTACAATTAAGTGTTCTAGAATTCCCATTCTTCACTATGTTATTCATAATTTGTTATGACCCACATAGTCGAATGCTTTTGCATAGTCAATAAAATACAGGTAATCATCCTTCTGGTATGGCAGTTCCCTGTTGATGTACTGCTGCAACCACTTTTGAATAATCTTCAGCAAAATTTTACTTGCGTGTGATATTAATGATATTGTTTGATAATTTCTGCATTCTGTTGGATCACCTTTCTTTGGAAAAGGGTACAAATACGGATCTTTTCCAGTCAGTTGGCCAGGTAGCTGTCTTCCAAATTTCTTGGCATAGAGAGAGCGCTTCCAGCGCTGCATCCATTTGTTGAAACATCTCAATTGGTATTCCATCAATTCCTGCAGCTTGTTCTTTACCAATGCCTTCAGTGCAGCTTGGACTGCTTCCTTTAGTACCATCGGTTCTTGATCACATGCCGCCTCCTGAAATGGTTGAACGTGGATCAATTCTTTTTGGTACAGTGACTCTGTGTATTCCTTCCATCTTCTTTTGATGTTTCCTGTGTTGTTTAATATTTTCCCCATATAATCCTTCAATATCACCACTTGAGGCTTGAATTTTCTCTTCAGTTCTTTCAGCTTGAGAAATGCCGAGCGTGTTCTTCCCCTTGGGTTTCCTAACTCCAGGTCTTTGCACATTTCATTATAATACTTTACTTTGTCTTCTCGAGTTGCCCTTTGAAATCTTCTGTTCAGCTTTTTTATCTCATCGTTTCTTCCACTTGCTTTAGCTATTCTACATTCAACAGCAAATTTCAGAGTCTCTTTTGACATCCATTTTGGTCTTTTTTTTCCTGTCTTTTTAACTACCTCTTGCTTTCTTCATGGATGATGTCCTTGATGTCATTCTACAACTCGTCTGGTCATTAGTGTTCAATGTGTCACATCTATTCTTGAGATGGTCTCTAAATTCAGGTGGGATATACTCAAGGTTGTATTTTGGCTTTCATGAACTTGTTTTAATTTTCTTCAGCTTCATCTTGAACTTGCAAATGAGCAATTGATGGTCTGTTCTGCAGTCGGCCTCTACCCTTGTCCTGACTGATGATAATGAGCTTCTCCATCATCTCTTCCCATAGATGTAGTCGATTTGATTTCTGTGTATTCCATCTGGCAAGGTCCACATGTATAGTTGTTTATGTTGTTGAAAAACAGCATTTCCAATGAGTAAGTAGTTGGGCTTGGAAAATTCTATCATGAGATCTCCTGAGTCATTTCTATCACCAAGGCATATTTTACAGCTACTAATCCTTTTTTGTTTCCAACTTTTGCATTCCAACAACCAGTAATTATCAGTGCATCTTGATTGCATGTTTGATCAACTTCAGACTGCAGAAGTTGGTAAAAATCTTCAATATCTTCATCTTTGGCCTTAATGGTTGGGGCGTAAATTTTAATAATAGTCATATTAACTAGTCTTCCTTGTAGGTGTATGGATATTATCCTATCACTGATAGCGTTGTACTTCAGGATAGATCTTGAAATGTTCTTTTTGACAATGGACACAACTTCATTTTGTCATTCCTAACATAGTAGACAATATGATTGTCTGATTCAAAATGGCCAATACCAGTACATTTCAGCTCACTAATGCCTAGGATATCAATCTTTACGGGTTCCATTTCATTTTTGACAACTTCCAATTTTCCTACATTCATACTTTGTACATCCCATGTTTCTATTATTAATGGATGGTTGCAGCTGTTTCTTCTCTTTTTGAGTCATGCCACATCAGCAAATGAAGGTCCTGAAAGCTCGACTCCATCCACATCATTAAGGTCAACTCTACTTTGAG